TATATGAATTTAAAAAAAAATATAATCTAGATGATATATACTAAAGAATTGAAATTTTTGTTTTAATCCTTTTATATTACAAAATAAAAATATCATGCAATTATTATCAGTTAAATATAAATCACTTAAAATTTTTTTAATTAAAATGACTTAATCTATTTTATTTATTTATTTATTGAGGACTTTTACATCGATTGGGGTAAACGGCCTGATGTAAAATCTTTTATAATAAAATTTTTTATTATGAGTAGCATCACCAGTATCTTTTATTTTTTATTTATTATTTTAATTAAGAACGTCCTATGATATACATGTACGAGTATCAATCCTATTTTGAATAAATATAGAGAAACTATAGAGAAAATAATTAATTAGAGAAAATACGATGAGAAACTTACGGAAAAGAGATTCACCTCATCTTCGGCGAAGGGATGGGTGGCGGCGAAAAAAAAAAGAAGAATGACGGATGGTGGCGGCGGAGGAAGAAGAATGGTAGACGGTGGCGGCGGAGGAAGAAGAATAACAATGATGGTGGAAGCGAAGAAGAAAAATGGAGACGAAGACGGTGGAAGCGAAGAAGAAGAATGATAAGAGATTTTTGGGAGTTGGAGAATCTTAAGTTTTCAGATAGGGTTTTGGGATTTTAAGAAACATTTTACATCGGATGGGCAAATAGGCCTGATGTAAAATTTTTAATCAATTTTATTTAAATTTTTATTTAGAATCTTATTACATCAGTTGGGCAAATTGGCCTGATATAAAATCTTAATCTATTTTATTTATTTATTTATTGAGGACTTTTACATCGGTTGGGATAAACAACCCGATGTAAAATCCTTTATAACAAAATTTGTTATTATTTACGACACTGCCACCGCATTATTTTTTACATCAGATGGGGTACATGGCCCGATGTAAAATGTTTCTCCCATTTTATTTATTTTTTATTGAGAACTTTTTACATCGGTTGGGATAAATGGCCCGATGTAAAATCCTTTATAACAAAATTTCTTATTATTTACGACAATGCCACCGCGTTATTTTTTACATCAGTGGAAATATATGTCTGATGTAAAATCTTTAAATCAAATATTTCTCACATCATATTGTTAATAAATCTGATGTAAAATCCTTTAACAAATATTTTTCACATCATATATCTAAAAATCTGATGTAAAATCATTTAACCAAATGTCTTATTTTTAGTAGTGAAGTGGGGCTTTTCTCCTTATAATCTCTCTCTTTTTAGGGATTGTATGTAAGTTTACTTGTAAAAAGTATGTAACTTTGTTAATCGTGGCGTTGTATACGATCTATTTCATAAATATATATCGATGTCATCTTTGTTTACCTGTTTATATTTGAACTTGAACCGTTATAGACATATACTCTTCAGATCCAGAACTAGGATACTTCTCTGTGTTATTTACTTTTTGCACTTTACTGCTTTCATAACCACTTCATATTTCAAAGAAAGTAATAACCTCATTCGATTAAAACTACAAAATTTCAAAGAACCTAATTCACAATCCCCCCCCCCCTCTTAGGTGCAACTCAGACTATCATCAGAAACATAACTGACGGCTCCACAACTTGCTCTATTAAGAGTTGTGAACGGGAGTGTGAGATACAGAGGAAGATTCAATCATTGAAAATCCGAATCATGACTTCAACAAATAAGTATTAATGTTTCAATTTCATATAATTGATTGATAATTTTTTCCACTTACACCTAATTGTTGTTCCGATAAACATTAACATATGATAATTATCCTCTCATATTTTCTCTTTCATTCCCTTTTATCAATTCTCATGGATACAAAAGTACAATGTTTTTTATCAATCACACATAAAAGTATATACTATACCTTAGTGATCAAGGGAGGAATAAACTTGATCTCAAATCAAAGGAGTGCACTTTCATCAATTATGGTGAGGATTAATGCGACTATTGACTTTGAGATGATAAAAAAAATGATATGCAATAGATACATAATCTTAAATGAAATAGTGATGTACAAAGACAAGCAAACAACAACCACAAATAAGTTATATCTAAGCAATTCTATTTATTTAAAGCTGGATGATGTTCCTAAAAATTTTGCTGTGAATGCAAGCTCAAGTTCCCGTGTGCATGATATATAAGAATGAAATTGTAAAAAGAAACAATAAAATAGATCCTAAGAATCGTGTGGAATGAATAATGCACCTTTAATCTAATAGTTTGCATGTGTGCACAAATCTATCGAAGATACCATAAATGTGCATCTCTATATATTCCTTTTATATTCTTAATATTATCTTCACAAATTCAGTTGTTGCATTTAATTTGACAAACTTAACTTTAAAGTTTACGAAAAAAATCCTCAATTAAGTTAACTAATATTATAAATTTATATTTATATTTCTCCTAATGTAAAACTTTTTAAAAGAAAATGATACCGACATATAAAAGAATAAAAGTTGAAGTATTCAAAGTACCAAAGAAAAAAAGGAAGCAAATCCCAAATTATATAAAGCTAACTATTCTATTAACTATATGTAACTATAAATACTTTGAATATAAACACATCTTTTTAGTTGAGATTAATTAATTAGTGGGGTTTTGTTTTGTTTTGTAATTTGAATGTGTTTAAATTGATTCATCACATGTCTCGCTAACAAATTGGAGAATTCACACTTTCCACCTCACAAACAACTCATAAATTATGACCCACAAATCATGTTTCAAACAGCTCAATTAGATTTGATCTCTCATCCACTTATTTATAATAACTACATTATTCTTTTTATTTTTTTTAATTATGTGTACATTGCTTTAATTAGACAAATATTTTTATCAATCACTACTTATATTTTAAGCAACCTTGTGGGTCGTTTTAATTAATTATAAATGCATTGCACTCTTTCTTTTTTTTATTTTATAAATGAAAAATTTTAAAAATATATTATAATCATCATGATATCCAAATTAGGAAAAAAGAAGATAATTTTTGTTTACATTGTATTAAACTATATGATATTTTAATTATTTCATGTATATTTATAAAATATAGTTAAAACTTTATGTAAAAGAAATATATGAGATAATTAAAAAAAATATTTTTATTAATAGTATAAAAAAGAAAAAATCCAATGATTAAAAAATAAATAAACATTAATATGTTAGTAAAATTACAAAGCGAGAATTTAATATTATAATAAAAAAATTTAATAATAATAATAATTTATAAACATGAAGTTATAAATTATTTAATATATGATTTTTTTTGTTTTTGTTTACATTAGCCCCTAGAAACTAGCCTTAAAAAGTTAGTGTTTTGAACATCCTTTATATTATTCCCATTTGTGGTTAAATATTTAGATTATTGAATTTACAGCTATGGCAATTGATGAATTTAATAAGTTATTATTGTTTTAGATTTGTTAAACAAGTTTAATACATTATAATTATCAGCTGGGACAAATTGACCGTGAGCTAGGAAACCACATGCAAAGTGGAACCCACTTAAAGCATTGTTACCTACATCAATCAATGTAGCTTAAATTAATCACACAAATCAGAATCAATTAATAACTAAAAATAGCTTTGAGTCATAGTGGAGTGCTAACAAACAGAGAAACTTTATAAGTATTTTCGATGGCTCAATATATTATGAATAGTTGTGCTTTTTATTTAAATTGTTTTTAACAGGCCACACCATTTTAAGTTGAATATAAAAATTAAGATAGTGCATGCTAGAGCCTAATAAAATATAAAATGAGTCTAACTAGAAATTGTCTTAATTAATGTCAAATTAATTATACTAATTAACAAATCTTTCAATCATGTTGTTACTTAAAGAGAATCTTTAGTGCAGTTCTTTAGTATTAAATTCTTTAATATTAAGGTAGTTATAAATAATTTGCATTGTATTAGGAAGATTCTAAAGTCCCACATTGGTTAGAGATAGAGTATTAAAATAGTTTATATAAAGTTGTACCTCTCACCTTACCAACCGATTTTCTAAGATCGTGTTAGGTCAAATTCTATATGGTATCAGAGCCTATCGATCCAATCTTGGGCAGTCCACCGTTTAAATCCATGCACCAAGCCCAAAAAAGAGTGTTGGGCGTGAGGGGGTGTATTAAAAAGATCCTAAAGTCCCAAAGTCCCACATTGATTGAAGATAAAGTTATTCTAAAGTATGAACTTAAATTTATTAACAATTAATATTTTATTTTAAATACCTAATATTCTTTACTTTCAATGAGATAAATGTCGTATGTCTAAAAGTCTCTATAAATTAAAAAAATTTCACGCAATTAATACTTTTTTTGCTATATTAATTTTAATATATTACTCCCTTCCAAAGTATGAACTTAAATTTATTAACAATTAATATATTATTTTGTTATTTTAATTCATGTCTTCATCATATTATTTATTGTTAGTTAGATTCATCACTATTGATTTTCTAAATACATTCCCCAAAATATAAACCACATTAAATATATGTCCACACATTGTCTTGTAGGTTACTCAGTTAACATATTCAATGATAGAAATTGATTTGAAAGATAGATGCCTCCATCCATATATATATATATATATATATATATATATATATATATATATATATATATATATATATATATATATATATATATATATATATATATATATATATATATATATATATATATATATATATATATATATATATATATATATATATATATATATATATATATATATATATATATATATATATATAAAATTGTGATTATAAAAATGAGTTGAGAAAATAAATAATATAGTATTGAGGCAAGAGAATATATAGGTGGAGAGAGAGAGAATATAAAATCTAGCTATATCTATAGGTGTAGAAGCATATTGAAATCTATACATGCAGAATCTAATCAATCCAGCGAGGCAAACAGCATGATCTGCTCATATAAAAACATCACTTGGGCACTACATCTTTCATTTCTTCCGGGATTTGCAAAATCAAACACCAATGGATCCTACTTCATCATCTTCAAGAAAAGGCAAAAAGAGTAATAATTCAGAAAATAGTAAACCAAGAAAACAACCTCAAAGAGGACTTGGTGTTGCTCAGTTGGAGAAAATCAGAATGTTACATTCTCAATTGCATCATCCTCCTCCTCTTCCTTACTTCAACTACAATGTAACTACTTCTGCATTTTTTTTATGTATTCTTCACTATTATAGTTTGATTAATTCTTGAATATATCATCAAATACAGGAAGATCCAAGGTTACTGCAAACGCCATCATCGTATGGTTTCCAACCTCACACTATGGCTTTACCTGAATACGAAAGATCAAACATCAGATGTCCAGATTTTCAACCAAGCAGATGGCATCATGGCAATGTCAACCACTACTCTCCTGCTCAAACAAACATAACTCAACCATTTCTGAATCTATATGTAAGCATTTTCACTTCTATACATAGTTTGTTGTCTGTGAATTGAAAGTGACTGTTTTTGGCTTTTGATTATATTTAGGATTCACAAGACATAGGTATGCATAGAAGTGATTCTTTGGATTTGGAATCGAGTGAAACTCAAGAGCCGGATTTGGAGCTCAGATTATCTCTCTATTAATTCATTTCTCATTCTATATTGGAACGTTTTATTTACAATTCAAATTATTGTAACAGACAAGAAATGAACAAGAAATGTAATATATACTTTCATGTGTGATTGATAAAAAACATTGTACTTTTGTATCCATGAGAATTGATAAAAGGGAATGAAAGAGAAAATATGAGAGGATAATTATCATATGTTAATGTTTATTGGAACAACAATTAGATATTTAAACGGTTAGGGGTAAGCGGAAAAATTTATCAATCAATTATATGAAATTGAAACATTAATACTTACTTGTTGAATCCATGATTCAAAATTTTGAAAAGATGAATAATCAGATCTTCCTCTATATCTCATACTCTCGTTCACAACTCTCAACGGAGCAAGTTGTGGAGCCGTCAGTTATGTTTATGATTCTTATTGTCATTACAAAGGGGGACCTAGCCATATAATATATATAACCCTAATCCCTACTCATTATGCGCTCAAGGTTAAAGCCCACACGTTTACTCTTCCATGGTATCGCACCTCCAGCCAACATAAAAATGTAACCAGAAGTAGATATCATATCATCAACACACCCAGCAAGATCATAGTCAGTATACCCAACTATTTCCAAGTTGTCAACTCTCCTAAAAACAAGCATATACTCTTTAGCTCTCTACAAATATCTCATCACTTTCTTAGTCGCAATCCAATAATCATTCCCAGGATTAGACTGGTATCGTCCTAAGACGCCAACTATGAAAGCAATGTCAGGCCTAGTGCATACTTGAGCATACATCAGGCTGCCCAATGCACTGTCAAAGGGTTTTTCCTTCATCTCTGCACGTTCAATCTCATTTTTAGGACATTAATCTTTACTGAATTTTTCTCCTTTAGTAATTGGAACATCTCCTGACTTACAGTTCTGCATATTAAACCTCTCCAGAACTCTATTAATATAAGCCCTCTGCGACAAGGCAAGTACACAACGTGATCTATCTCTGTGTATTTCAATTTCCAACACAAAGGATGTTTCACCAAGGTCCTTCATATCAAAGAACTTGGTTAGCATAAGTTTGGTCTCATGAAGTAGACCAAGATCACTACTCACAAGCAAAATATCATCAACATATAACACAAGAAAGATAAGTTTGTTCCCACTGGCCTTAAGATAGATGCACTGATCAACTTTATTTTTTTCAAAACCCAATGAAGTTACCACCTCATCAAGTTTCAAGTACCATTGTATAGAAGACTATTTCAAAGCATAAATAGATTTTCTTAATTTACAAACCAAGTTCTCATCACCACTTTTTACAAAACCCTCAGGCTGCTGCATGTACACCTCCTCATTAAGATCACCATTCAGAAAAGTAGTCTTAACATCCATCTGATGCAATTCCAAGTCAAAATGCGCTACAAGGGCCATAACGATTCTAAAAGAGTCTTTAGTAGAAACAGGAGAAAAATTTTCATTAAAATCAATCCCCTCCTTTTGTGTGAAACCTTTAGCCACAAGTTTTGCCTTAAACCTCTCAATTTTACCTTTTGAGTCCTTCTTTGTTTTGAATATCCACTTGCATCCAATCGCCCTACAATTTCTTGGTAACTCCACTAGTTCCCAAACATCATTATTTACCATGAATTTTATTTCATCATGCATTGCATCTGTTCACATGTTAGATTGAGAACAAGTAATAGCTTCTAGATAGTTTTTAGGATCAATAACAATACCAACGTCATAAGCATCCTCACTAAGATAAACTACAAAATCATTAGGGGTAGCAGGTCGCTTTTGTCTTACTGACCTTCTAATATGAATTTGCTCAACTGGCTCATCAAGTTGTGCAATCTCAATTATAATAGGAGGATCCACTATATTTTCAACAAGTGGTTCAACCACATCTTCAATTGGATGTTCAGCCACATTCTCATTTGGAGCAAAACCTCCATGAGCAGTGGATGATCTAGCATTATCAAAATTAGGCAGTGACAAAGTAACAACATCAAGCATAACAAAATTAATATTATCAGATGCAGTGACAAGCTCAGCAACATCAAGCTCAAGGAGTTTTACATGCATGAACTCCAGAAATTTATTGCCTCTACCATGACAAAAGAATCTGTATCCTTTAGATCGATCCAGATATCCAATAAAAAAACAACGACTTATTTTTGGGTCAAGCTTTGTCTCAAAAGGATTATATATGTTAACGTCTGCAGGACAACCCCAGAGACGAAGATGGTTCAAACTGGATTTTCTACCTGTCCAAAGCTCAAAAGGTGTTTTTGGAACTGATTTACTAGGAACTCTATTAAGTATATAGAAAGATGTTTTCAAAGCTTCGCCCCATACAAATTATGGTAAATTACTCCTACTCATCATGCTTCTCATCATATCCTTAAGGGTGCAGTTTCTCCTTTCGGCTACTACCTTTTTGTTTAGGAGTATTGGGCATGGTGTATTATGGAACAATTCCATAATCTTGCAAGTATTTTGCAAAAGACCCCATGTGTTGCCCAGTAGAATGATATTTACCATAATACTGTCCACCATGGTCAGAACGTACCACCTTTATAACTTTTCCTCAGTTTTAAAGATTTTAAACTTTTCAAGTGCTTCTGATTTTTCCTTAATCAAGTAGAGATATCCATACCGTGAAAATCATCAATAAAAGTGATAAAAGATTTATTACCACAAATAGTGGGAGAAAGGGGTCCGCTAATGTCTGTATGAATAATTTCTAAAAGGTCTGAACTTCTAGTTGAACCTTTTCTTATTGGTCTTAGTAAATTTTCCTCTAATGCAATCCACACAAGTCCTTAAATCATTAAAATCTAAGGAAGGTAAAATATCATCTTTAGTTAACCTTTCAACTCTTTCTTTAGAGATATGTCATAAACGTTTGTGCCACAACAAAGAAAATTTTTCTCTAATTTTAGATCTTTTAGCAATGGAGCTTTCAACATTTAATGATGAGGATATCATATCAAAACCCAAAGATAACTTATATAAACCATCCAACAAGATACCATTACCAACAACTTGATAATTCAACATTAAATTTAATTTTCCATCATAAAAGGTAAATTGAAATCCAAGCTTATCCAAACAAGCACTAAAATCAAATTCCTCCTAAAAGAAGGTACATAAAATGTATCTTTCAAAACAAGTTCAAAACCAGTTCCTAAAACTAAGCTAACATATCCCACTAGCTCCATAATGACTTCAAGATCATTTCCTACCCTGAGTTTTCTTTCCCTCAAGTTTGGTCTCTGGTGGTTTCTGAACTCCTGTAAGAAGACAACAATATGGGTTGTAGAACCACTATCAAGCCACCAAGAATTAAGGGGAACATCAATTAAGTTAGACTCAAAACAGACAAAAGCTAAATGATTACCTCCAGATTTGTTCTTGTTGTCTAACCAAGCTTTAAAAGCATGACAATCAATTCTCTTATGTCCCTTTTCCTTACACCAAAAGCACCAAAATGATTTCTTAAAAGCAACAGGTCTGAAACCTCCTATGTTATGGTGTTGACCATTACCAGGTTTCCTATCAGGATATCTATGAGAAATGCTATGAGGGTTTTTCTTATTTTTCCAAGAATTCTTACCAGAATGGGGTTTAGCATGAAAAGTCAGGAGGGCTAGATCACTTTTTCCCTTTTTGAGTTTCTCTTCTTCAACTACACATTTGGTAATGAGGTTATTGATAGTCCACTTATCACCAAATGTATTACATGCAGTTTTCATTTGAGTGAACTCAACAGGTAGGCAATTTAAGGCATGAGACATAATAAAATTCTCATTCAGGTCAATGTCATGAGATTTTAGTTTGGTTTGGACATGAACCATCTTAAGAATGAACTCTCTGACACCCCCATTGTTATCATATTTCATGTTCGTGGGTTGTTTCATTAAACATCCATATTCAACATTATCAGATACCTGAAACCTCTCTTCAATAGTAGTAAGATATTCTTTAGCATTCTCTTTCTCAGACAATCCACTTATCAGATGTTCAGAAATTATCCTCTTCATAGAACACAAGCTAAGTCGGTCACTCCTCTCCCACTTAGCTAATTTTTCTTTCTCTTCAGGTGTACTCTGATCATTGATCGCGGGTTTGGTTTCACGCAACGCCATGTCAAGATCAACAATACCTAATGAAAATTCTTAGTCTTTCTTCCATTTCTTAAAATTAGACTCATTCAGGATCTCAATAGAAGCAAAATAGTTATTCATAGAGAAGATCATTGTTTAGACAGAATAGGAATGCATTAGAACAAATAATAAAGGTAAGATATAGCTTTAATGAACATAAGCTATCATGAAGAGGCCAACATTGTCATACAATCCCCTTTGGGTGGAATGCGCAAAACCCAGGTTACAACCAAGTTCAGAACCTCAAATGAGTTACTCAATGAGCATACAATTAGTTCAAAAATCTATCTCTTTTGGGCAAATAAATTCTCTAAACCAAAACACCTCGAATAACTTCATCTACGAATTCAAGAATAAGCTACTCAGTAAGCATACATTGAGTTTAGAAATTTATCTCCTTAGGGTAAATAAATCCCTTGGACTCAAGCATCTCCAATAGCTATATCCTTAATCAACCACAATCTCTACATACAATTGTCCACCTTTGGGAATAAAATTATAGTTATGACTTAATATCATTCCTCAAACTACAAAGAGACTTTTATAAATTAAAATGAGTGATCTCACTTTGGTGGTAATCACACACAATAATTTATAGAATTTCTTGCATAGGAATTAAATTTCTCTTGCCAAAATAAATCATGAACTAATCATGAATTTAAACAATATAGCATTTCCAATAAGTTTTTTCTTCAACAGTATCAATCTCAATATTATAAAAATATTATATAATATTTCATAATAAAATGGTATAGGGATATTGCATAGTAAAATATTTGACAAAATAAATATTTTACAAATTTATATAAACTAATATTTATTCATATAACTTTATATAGATATATTGTATTCACGTAACT